CATGCAGTAAGATGTGTATCATCTGAAAGACAGTTACAAAATGTTTCATTGCCAATCCCCAAAAATGCCATTGTTTATTAAGTCCAAACAATGGTGGTCAAATTCTAACAACTGATCAACAATGTGAACTTGATAAGCAGTTCTCAATAATTAGTTCTCAACAATTATTTGTTATTATTAAAGTTTAACATTATAAAATTAACAAAAATAATATAAAACTCACATCCTGGCTAAATAGCTACATGGCCTCCAAAAACCTCATTTTCCCTTCTCGTTCTCCTGCTGTTCCTAGCTGGTCGTGCATTCTTTCCAAAAATTGGGACTTTTTAAAAATGCCGCGGGACGTGGGACAAATTGTTAAAAATTGGGACTGTCCCGCCAAAAGTGGGGAGCATCTGGTCACCTTACCTTACAGCCCAGATTCCCTCTGTATGATCCTGTGTCCCCAGGGTTTGGCCTGAAACTGGGGCTCAGCACAGTCCGCTTTTGTCTCCTTCCCACTAGAGCAATCTAGCAGCACAGTCAACAATCTGTCCTCTGTGCACATTCGCATGTGCGCCTCCAGAGCCCTGTCTTTCACCGTTCCCCTGAGTTTCCACCTTACAGCCTAGATTCCCTCTGTATGAGCCTGGGTTTCCAGGGTCTTGCCCAGAACTGGGGTTCAGTGCAGTCGGAACTGGGGTTCAGGGCAGCCCAGAGCTTTTATCTCCTTCCCGCTAGGGAACGCCAACCAGGCACTCAGACATCCCTCCTCTCTGTCTCCATCCTCTCCACACAAGCGCCTTGTCTCCATACCATAGGCTTTTACAGCTCCTCTGATTTTCCTTCTGGTTTTCTCTTTCCTTCTAGTTGTAGAATTTCCAGTCAGTCAACTTTTCTGTAGTTCTGGATAATGTCCATTTTGTATTTTAGTTGTATTTTTGAAATTGTTGTGCGAGGCTGCAGTTAGGCATTTACCTATGCCATCATCTTGGTTTCTCTGAGGATGAAATTCTTATCATCAAATTTCTCTCCATAGAAGGACTTGCTTACTGTACCATTATGGCATGTGAGGTCACCAACCTGGCACATAAATCCCAAATAATTCTGTGAAATCAGGAATTTTTGTAACCAGACCCTTCCCCCCAGTACTCAGAGCACAAGAGTTTTCTGCTCTCTTTGAAACTTTGTCTGCAAACAGCATGAAGGAGATGCAGCCCAGGGGCTCACCTTCAATGGTGATGTGAAAGAACACAGTAGGATTCATCATGGCTGGTCATGGATGGCTCTGGGGCATTCATGTCTGCAATGCAGCCTATTTTTATTATTTTAATAGCTACATAGCATTATTGTGGTGTTTTTCCTTTTTCCATATCTCACACTGAAAGAAAGATAAGTTCCTGAGGGGAGGAGCTGGGGATTAAGAAATTAGAGAAAGAAAGAGACAAGAGGCAGAAATAGTTTCAAAGCTGGGTGCCAGGTGGCTTCCTGTCCTCTGATAGAGAGACAGTCAGGCACAGCCATACAAAGCCACTCATTTATTGATTTCCAAAAGGGATTATAAGGTTAAAAGGACTTTTGGGTGTGCCCAGATCCTATTCATCAAAATCTGGGTAAGCTCCTTATTTTTTGGTACAAGATTTAGCATATCGAGACCTGGGTGAGTCAAGGTCCTATTTGTTCCTCATTCCCAGCACTGGATAAAGATAAGAAATCAGTACTGATAACAGGATTCTGCCAGTGCCCTTGGGCTCAGCTGATAAAATTTTAAAAGAATGTCCATGTGCCTTCCCAGACCGCTTTCTACACATTATATGTTGGAACCATAATTTATTCATGTCCTGATTAAATAAACTTTCTCAGTTGCTCTTTAAAACAAAATTACGAAGATTCTCCTTGTATATTCTTGTTTCCATTTTTAAAACATTTTGAAATTTCAAATATACACTAAAATAGACAAACTAATATAAAGAACTCTATATAACAATAAGCCAGCTTCACCAGTTATGAATGAGAGGGCAGGGCGGGGCGAGGACAAACTCCTGACTCCACTGTGGGGCAGGGCAGAGTTATCCTCCATTTTGTAACTTAACCCTAGCCCTCACCCAACCAATCAGGGTTAGCCGAGGCAGTGACATCACCACCGACCTGAGTAAAACCCCTGGACTGGGCGAAATTTGCTCTCTTCCGCCATGCTGCCAGTGTGAGTGGGACAGAGCCCATGCTAGCATGGAAAAGGCTCTTTTGTTTATTGATCGGACTCGGCTCCCTGGTGGTCCTTGGGGATCACAAAGTCTGGGCGTAACATGAACTTATGGTCAATTTTGTTTCACTGATACTCCTACCCACATCCCCTAGTCCCACCCCTATATTTTATTTTATTTATTTATTTTTAATATATTTTTTACTGATTTTTTTTACAGAGAGGAAGAGAGAGGGATAGAGAGTTAGAAACATCAATGATAGAGAATCATCAATCAGCTGCCTCCTGCACATCCCCCATTGGGGATGTGCCCGCAACCAAGGTACATGCCCCTGACTGGAATCGAACCAGGGACCTTTCGGTCCGCAGGCGATGCTTGATAGCAACTGAGCAAACATCTGGGCTGCATCTCCTTCATGCTGTTTGCAGACAAAGTTTCAAAGAGAGCAGAAAACTCTTGTGCTCTGAGTACTGGGGGGAAGGGTCTGGTTACAAGTGGTGACCACTGAGCAAAACTGGTTTTGACCCCACCCCTATGTTTTAAAGAAAATTCCAGTCATTATATCATTCACTTTATAAATTGTTCCCTAGATATCTTTAAAACCTGTGCATACTGTTTGTGTACATGTAAGAATACACCTGTAAGATAAATTCCAGAATGTGGATTTCCTGATTAAAGTGGAGTGGAATTTCACATTATGATGTTGTCCACTTGTCCTCTACAAAAATTGTGTGGATTTATTCTCCCATCAACAGTAAACCAAAGCACCTGTTTCCCTGTATCCTCATCAAAACAGCATATTGTCCAATTGTTAATCTTTGCCCATATATTAAAACATGGTATTTTAAGTTTTTTATTTTTGTGTTTTTGTTAATCCTTACTCAAGGATATTTTTCCATTGATTTTTAGAGAGAATGGAAGAGAGAGGGAAAGAATAGAGAAATATCTATGTGAGAGAACACAGCGATTTATTGTGTTTGGCACAAGGCCCCGGCAGGGAAGGAGCCTGCAACTGAAGTACCCTCCCTTGACTGGAATCACACCCGGGATCCTTTGGTCGGGACCCTTTGGCCTGCAGGCCAAGGCTCTATCCACAGAGCCAAACCGGCAAGGGTTTAAATTTTTATTTAATATTGGATACTATCTTGTGCCTTTAAAAATCATTCATATTTCTGTGGAAACCTGTGTATATACCTTTTCTATTTTTCTGAATTGGTAAACTTTTTCTTACTGATTCTTTTGTTATAAAGAAATTAGACATTTTTTGGTCATCACATTTATCGATAACAAATTTTACGACTTCCGGGGTTTATATCTTGTTTGGACAGTTTCTCTTCCCTATAACCTTAATTTTCTCCCAAGTTTTCTGCTAGTATTTTTATATGTTCTATTTTTTACATGTAAATTTTTGCTCTACTTAGAATTTATCTTGATTTAAGGATGTCAAAGGTATACAGTGTTTCTCATCACATATCTAGACTAGTAAGAGACAAAAATTTTCATTCTGGCCGATACTAGTTTGGCTCAGTGGATAGAGCGTCGGCCTGCAAACTGAAAGGTCCCAGGTTCGATTCTGGTCAAGGGCGTGTACCTTGGTTGCGGGCACATCCCCAGTAGGTGTGCAGGAGGCATCTTATTGATGTTTCACTCTCATTGATGCTTCTAACTCTCTATCCTTTTCCCTTGCTCTATAAAAAAATCAATAAAATATATATTTAAAAACATTTTTTCATTCTATAATTACAAATTAAGTATAGATACAAAAATCACAATCGATATCCTAGCCCTGCCTGAATGGCTCAGTTGGTTGAACAACGTCTTGTGCGCCGAAAGTTGCCAGTTGGATTCCTGGTCTGGGAACAAACCTTGGTTGCGTTCCCAGTCCGGAAGGCAACCTACTGATGTTTCTATCTCACATCGTGTTTTTTTCTCTCTCTTCCCCTTCCTCTCTCTAAGCATGTCCTCGGATGAGAATTAAAGGGGCAAAATTAGCCCAGGGTAAATCACCTATATTAGATGGTTTGCAGATTTCAAGTTTTGGTAGAGTGAATGGGCAGAAGGGATTGAGGGCAAAGAGGAAGGAAACAGGCAGTGGCAAGACTGGAGTGTCTCAAGAAAGGTTAGATTTCCTAGTTCTCAAATTCCTAAACGCAGTGAAAACCCCAGTGAGCACCTCAGAACGCGCCAGGTTTCGTGCACAGTGCTGGCCACCTTCCCATGGAGTCTCTGCAGGCCCCTCACCAGGACAGGGTGGAGCTCCGTAGACCCCAACACCTTGGCTCAATTGCCCCCTCCCTGAGCCACGGGGCCCGTAAGCAAAGCTGAATCAGAGATGGCTTGGGGAATAAGAACCGCCGGCTCCTTCCGCTCCTTGCGAGCCAAGCCGTCATCCAAGATGGGTGTCAGAGTCCAGCGCTGTGACGTCTGGGCCTCTGGAATGCGGGGACAGGGAAGCGGTCCTCACCCCGGCGCGCGGGCGGGCTCTGCGGCGGGCGGGGCCTGGTCTCCCGCCCCCGAGCCCCCACTTCCCCGCTCCTGCGCGCCCCCGCGTGGCCAGCCCGGCCTTAGCGGGCTCTGGTGGAGGCGGAGGCGGAGGATGAGGCGGAGGATGAGGCGGCGGCCTCCCCGCCCCTGGTCCGCCTCTCCTTCCTGTCGGCGGCCCGCCCGTCGGCCCACTCCCGGCTGCGGCGGAGCGAGGGGAAGACCGGCGGGGCGCCGCGGGCCGAGGCGCGGAGGAACGGCGCTCGCGGAGAGATGCTGGGCGTGGCGGCAGGAATGACCAACAGGTAAAGTTCGGGCCCTTCCCGGCCGCGCGCTCCGAGCACCGCCACGTAGGCTGCGGGCGGCGCCGGCCGGCCCTGCCCCGCGCCTTCCGGCCGGCGAGCCCTGCGGCCGCCCGGCCGCGCCCGCCGCCCGCCCGGCGGCCTGCCCGGCGCTTCTGAGGGGTTTTGGTTCCCGGGACGTGTCCCATATGTCATGAGATTTTGAGGGCGATATTGTCTTAGTGCTTAGCAAAGTACTCAACGTCAAATATTTGAGTGAATAATTTATATTCTAGCAGTAGGAATGTGATATAGGCCAGCGGTCTTAGCACCCATTTTAAAAATAGTAACTTATGGTAGTTTTGCCTATAGGTATTTACTATATTAGAAATGAAAACTGAGACATTTAAAATATTTTGCATAGAAGAACACAATTGGACTTTCCTATCCCCTTTGCCTTCAGTTTATTGCCATATATTTTGATTGAATTACATGAAGAAAAATCTGATAAGTGGTTGGAAAGGGGAGGAGTATTTTAATAGGTTTTTAAGTAATTGTGGCTATTTTTTGTTACTACACCCAAAAGAGGTTACTGCTAGTTTCTTAAAGATTAGTTTGGATGTGAAATCTGAAGTCTTACAAATGAACTTTTCACATGTGATACATTCATTGTTCTATCCGGCAGTTTAAATGAGCTTGTTACCCATTGTAACATCTTATGTTTATCATTTGGAAAATACTGATTCACCAAGTTAAGGCAGATCTTCGAAATTGCTGACACATTTCATTATACAATATCACCGCTGATTTCCCATAAGTATTGTGAAACAGTCAGGCTCAAAGTGGTGGATACAAGTTTTCCAACATTCTAATTTTCAGTTGAAATCTTGATTTTACTATTGGTAGACAACTATTATCAATTGTTTTCCTCAAAGTGACAGGCTCATTTTGTTCAGTTTCAAGAAATGTCTACAAACCATGGTTTGTCATGTTATTGTTTCTAGTAAAAATGTATCATGAAAAAAGCATTTAATTTATGTTCTATTAACATATGCTTTTCCTCGAGAAAGCTGATTTATCTTGGTGTGCAGCAGAAGTGCTTTATGCATACCTCTTTTTAAAAATCTTTTTAAAAAATTGATTTCAGAGAGAAGAGAGACAGAAAAGAAAACATCCATGTGGGGAAAAAACATCTATCATTTGCCCCCAACTGGGGATCAAACCACAACCTGAGCATGTGCCCTGACTGAGAATTGAACCCACCACCTTTTGGTGCTCCAACCAACTGAGCCACAATGGCCAGGATATGCATACCTTTTTTTCAAGTGACAAAAATGAAAGTCAAGAGTCAAGATTTTTTTAAAAAAATATATTTTATTGATTTTTCACAGAGATGAAGAGAGAGGGATAGAAAGTTAGAAACATCGATGAGAGAGAGTCATCGATCAGCTGCCTCTTGCACACCCCCTATTGGGGATGTGCCCGCAACCAAGGTACATGCCCTTGCCCGGAATCGAACCCGGGACCTTTCAGTCCGCAGGCTGACGCTCTATCCACTGAGCCAAACCGGTCCCGGCAAGAGTCAAGATTTATAACATTCATAATTTATACTGCTTCATCAAGGATGTTTTTTCTTCATTAAAATGTATTAAATAAATATTAAGTTGATACAAAATTTAAAATATTTGTAAAAAATAAACTATACAGTGGATATACAGTATTAGTAAGAGTATAACATTTGGGCTGTTTACAATTTGGGGCTATATATACTATTAATAGAGGAATATGCAAATTGTCCGGGACATTGTCATGCAACGACCAGTCAGGATGGGGGAAGGGCTGCGGCAGAGAGCTCTTGGCACACCTGTACCAGGGTCCGCTTAAGGCTACAGAGTTTCAAGTATAGAAGAATCATAAATTTTAACAGAAATGGCTGCCGCCACAGAGCAAACAGAAGGTTTGGCTCCAATCCAGGCTACAAAATTTCAGTTGTCGAAGTTAAATAAACCCCAGATACCAGGGCCTCTACTTGGGTCACCAGGGGGCGTGGCTGGCCTGCAAACCACCGTAGGCCCCTCACCAGGCAGCCCCACACCCCAAGGGAACTCCCAGTCTGATCCAGGACACACTTCAGGGAAAACCAGCTGGCCCCCACCTCTGCACTCAGCCTCTATACTATCTAATAAAAGTAATATGCAGATTGACCATCACTCCAACACACAAGATGACTGCCCCCATGTGGTCAAAGATCCTGTTCCCATGTGGACACAAGATGGCCAGCAGGAAAGGGCAGTTGGGAAGCACCAGGCCTGTAAGGGAGGGCAGTTGAGAGAGACTAGGTCTGCAAGGGAGAGCAATTGGAGGCGACCAACCCTGTAGGGGAGGGCAGTTAGGGGTGGCCAGTCCAGCAGACAAGGGAGGTTGGGGGCAAACAGGCTGGCAAGGGAACAGTTAGACATCAATCAGGCAGAAGTGGTTAGGGGCCATTAGAAAGGCAGGCATGCGAGCAGTTGGGACCCAGCAGTCCTGGATTGTGAGAGGGATATCCGACTGCCCGTTTAGACCCGAAACCTATGGGATGGGATCCGGTCTAAATGGGCAGTCGGACATCCCTTGAGGGGTCCCAGATTGAATAGGGTGTAGGGTGGGCTGAGGGACAGCCCCCCATCCCGTGCATGAATTTCACGCACCGGGCCTCTAGTATATATATAAAAGGCTAATATGCAAAGTGTCCCCTCTGGAGTTCATCCTGGAGACCAGGAATTCGGTTGCTCACTATGACGTGTGCTGACCACAAGGGGGTGGTGTGGAACAACAGAAGGCCATGCCCGGCAACCCGGGAAGTAAGGCCTTGGCCAACAGCCAGGAAGCTCAGATCAGCCCTGATTGCCAGCCAGGCCTAGGGACCCTACCCGTGCATGAATTTCATGCACTGGGCCTCTGTTTAATAATAAAGCTATTGTGAATTTTGTGGACAGGTTTTTATGTAAATACTAGTGGCCCTGTGCACAAATCCACGCGTGAGTAGCTCGCTGCTGCTTGCCTCAGCTGGCTGCCCCATCCACGGCACATAGCTTGCTGCTCCGCCCCCCTGTAACTCTCCACCACTCAAAGCTTGCTGTCGCACCCTCCTCTAGCTCTCCCCTACTTGTAGCTTGCTGCCCTGCCCTCCTGCTGATCGGTTGGTACGTGTCGTGGCGTAATGACCATTTGCATATAACCTCTTTATTATATAGGATAAGTTTTCTTTTCTATGAGATAAATGTCCAGGAGTACAATTGCCAGGTTTTTTGACAGACTTTTCCAGAGTGGCAATATTATTTTCATTAAGGACACTTAAACGAGAAATTGGCATTCTCTTTTTGTAGGTACATGAAGAATTTGGTTATGCTACAACTACTTTGATTAGTGCTGAAAGACCAGCATTTGTACCTGTTATTGCTTTTGCACTATCAGTGAAAGTGTCAACACAGTGCACAAGGCTATATCAGTATATCAGCTTCTTAGGAACACCTTAGCATTATTATGAAAAATAGTTTTGATCTTTTAGGCCTCTTGAAAAGGTCTTAAAGACCACTCTGCCCTCCCCTCCTCAGGTTTCCAGACCATACTTTGAGAACCACTGTTAATGACTTTCTAAATCACACATGTCAAACACAAGGCCCGCGAGCCAAATCCGGCCCGCCAGGCCTTGCAATGTGGCCCGCACCGCGCTGTCATCACTGCACTCCGCTGCGTTCCATCATAATGACGCTCGGTGACATAGGAGGCTTGTGATCTCGCCAGCCGCCTCGCCGGCCGCCGTACTTGCTATCTATTACACATGCGCATAGATAACAAGTCACGCGAGATTCAGGAGGCGTGACCTATAGTCCGGCATCCGATGTGGTTGTGCGGGTGGCAGAGCCGAGGAGAGAGTGAGTGTGCGGGCATAAAAAATACACAGCAGAAGCTGCCAGTTCCTGGCATAAAGTGCAGGCATAAAAATCGCAATAGAATCTGCTATCTGTACCCAGCCAGGCATTTATTGACTGTTTTTTTCTCCACTCCATCTGCCAAATCAAGCTATCCCTGTGCAGTTTTCAACTTTTTCCTTCTAACGCAGATTTCCAATAAACTACATCTTTTACTGCCAATATTGATCCCAAAATGTCCAGGAAAAGAAAAGTTGACGGTGAAGGCAGACAATTTAATGACAAATGGGAAAATGAATACATGTTTGTGCTTAGAGAGGGCAAACCAGTGTGTATATTGTGTTATGAGACAGTGTCGGTGATGAAAGAGTACAATATACGTCGTCATTTTGACACCAAACATAATGTTAAGTATGGCAAATATACTTTGGAAGAAAAGCATAAAATTGTTAAAGAACTAAAAGGCAAACTACAATCACAGCAGCAAATGTTTACAAAGGCTACAGCGAAAAATGATGCTGCAGTGAAAGCAAGCTTTGTAGTGGCTGAAGAAATTGCCCGTCCTTCAAGGTGTTTTTCAGAGGGTGCCTTTTTGAAGCAATGCATGCTAAAAGTGTGTGAGCAAGTATGCCCAGACCAGATACAGAGTTTTCAAAATGTCAGTTTGTCAAGAAACACCATTGCAGATAGAGTTCAAGAACTCTCAGGAAATCTATCATCACAGCTGGCCGAACAGGCATGCAGTTATCTCGCTTTTTCACTTGCTATCGATGAAAGCACAGACAACACTGATACAGCGCAGCTGTCCATCTTTATACGTGCTACGAAGACCGACCTCTCTGTCACTGAGGAACTTTTGGATGTAGCTGCCATGCATGGGACGACGACTGGTAGAGAGATATTTGAGGCTGTGGAGAAATCTATAAATAATTTTAAATTACCCTGGGAAAAGTTGGTGGGGCTAACTACCGATGGCGCACCTTCAATGTGCAGAGAAAAGAAAGGCTTGGTTGGACTAATGAAGGAAAGAATGCAAAAAAGTCACTGCCACACACCCTTGATTACTTATCATTGCATTATCCACCAGGAGGCTATGTGTGGAAAAGTTCTGGACATGAATGACATAATGACCACAGTCATTAAAACTATTGATATTAACTTTATACGGGCACGTGGCCTGAATCATCGCCAGTTCCAGCAGTTTTTACAGGAGGTGGGTGCAGAGCATGGAGACGTGCCATACCACACAGAAGTAAGATGGCTGAGCAAGAGCGCAGTCCTCAAAAGATTTTTTGAGCTCAGAGAACAAATTGCTCTTTTCATGAAAAGTAAAGGAAAGCCCTTGCCTGAACTGTCGGATCCCGCCTGGCTATGTGATTTTGCTATGATGTGTGACATATGCGAGCATCTCGCCCAACTGAATCTGAAGCTGCAGGGACGCAAACAAGTCATCACAAAGATGTCTGACATGATCACAGCATTCCAGCGTAAACTTCAACTATGGAAGTCCCAACTGGAACAGGACAATCTTGCCCACTTTCCCGTTTGTTTGAGTATCTCAACCACTATTTCTGGTACTTTTCCTTGCAGTCGGCTGGCTACCAAAGTTAGCCGTTTACTAAGTGAATTTGAGCGGCGCTTCTCTGATTTTAGAACACAGCACTCAGGCTTTGACATCTTTGCCAATCCTTTTACAGTTGATGTCAACAATGTGCCCCATCACCTTCAGATGGAGATAATCGAGCTTCAGTCTGACAGTGGCCTGAAATCAAGGTTTCAGGATGTTGAAATTGAGGACTTCTACCCTCTACTGCCCCCTGACTCAATGCCAGAGCTCCGACTTCATGCTGCCCGTATTCTAGCCATGTTCGGGAGCCCCTATCTTTGTGAACAGATGTTTTCAATAATGAATCTGAACAAAAACAAGCACAGATCACGCATTACCGATGACAACCTCCATGCTGTTTTGTGGGTTGCTACAGCCCAAGAAATAAAACCGAACATTGACTCATTGATCCGGGGAAAACAGTGTCAGACATCTAGCCAGAAAACAAAACAATGAGCATTTTAGGTACATTCCAATATTACTGTTTTGCTTGATACCAATATTACTGTTCTGCTTGATAGCACGTGAGTTGGTTAACAGCACTGTTAAGGAAAAGATTGTTCCACTCATTTTAAATTCACATTTCTGGTTAACATTGTCAGTTTATGACTGTTCAGTAAACCATTCGGCCCGCGATTTAGGCTGGATTTTAGATTTTGGCCCCTTCTCTGATCGAGTTCGACACCCCTGTAAATCTAAATGATGAGGGAAGTATACATATTTGACATATTTAAAAAGGAACGTATACAGAGATTTCTCTTTAAACTATGTACTGGATGCTTATAGTATGTGCTTTCTAGTTTTGGGGATTTTTAGTGGGACTTAATAACTAAGCCAAGAAGAACACTGGAAAGATTGCTGCCATTAAAGATTTTCCCTGACACTGGCCACCTCTGCTATGAAAAGTGTAAATGTCATGGAAATGAGTGTGTTCCTAAAACTTCAGTGCTGGTTTATACTAAAATGCGCATATACTAAAATTGGAATGACTAGGGAAGATTGGAACAGCCCCAGTGCAAATTTGTGAAGTGTTCTATATTTTTAAAAATCCCACAGAAACAAAATAACAAAACTTCAGTGCTCTATGCCTGTTTGTATTGTTAGGAAATGGGGTTCTAAAAAAAATTTTTTTTTGAA